GACATCAGTGAGAGTACTTGCATGACATGCTCAGTCACATCTGGTGTTACCTCTTAAGTAAGATATTTATTCATTCATAATATTTATCTGGCTGTCCAACTTAAATAGTTTGACACTGGGCAATGTGCAAGAAAAAAATATCCACAACAAATGCAACATAAAGAGAACAAAATACAACTAAAGGGAATAAAACCCAATTAACACAGTAAAATTGTAATCAGACTAAAATAGATTGTAACTCATCCAGTTGGGTCTCCACTCAACCTGATCCAAAGACCTGGGAAAAGAACCATAATGACTTGTGCCATTATGTTCTGGACCACCTGAAGTTTCTGGATGGTCTTCAAGAGCAGCTCCATGTAGAGTGCATTCCATTACAGGTAATTCTTCATTAACTATGGTAATTGGGACCAGAATTACCCGAGGGACTGCCTTCTCCCAGTGGTTTCACCTCTCCAATTCAGTCCTGTAAGTTGGGCATCCTGTGGGTTTCATCCGATAAGGATTGTCGGCTAGCAGGGACTAGAAGACGTGCCTTCTCTGCTGTAGCCTCTGCCCAATAGAACATTCTCCCCTGACACTAGCATGACTCAAACTTGTTGTTCTTTCATAAACCTTGGAAACCTTGATTTGTGCCCAAACCTGGGGCTGAGTGTGGGAAGGGTTCCTTTCCCTGGCTATATTGACATCTATGATGATTTTTTTTTCATGGTTGTCATATACAGTATATTAAATTTTGTACTATACTATAACTGCATTTAATTGTTTTACGCTTGTTCACCTCCCAGAGTTACTTTTTTGAGATGGGTATCTATTTGCTATTGATGTTGTTGTTCAGTCACTAAGTCATGTCCGACTCTTCATGACACCATGGACCATAGCACTTCAGGCCCTCCTGTCCTCCACTGTCTCATTGAGTCTACCCAAACTCATGCACACTGTGTTAATGACATGATCTAACCCGGGGTCCTATAGAAATTGAGTTAATAAATAAATTTCTATCACTGTGGTCATACAGGGCAATGTCATGTCATTACATTGTTTAGTGATGGCAATCCTGACTGCCCCAGTTGCCATTGTTAATCAAATCCCAGCTAGTCATGAGGTGAAGAGCCCTCCTAATTCAAGCTGTCCCTCCTACTGGATAGTCCTACTGGATACTGGATACTACTGGATAGTATGATATTCCTACTATTCTACTGGATAGTCCCTCTTACTGGAGTCCCAAGCTTCAGTAAGGTAAGGATCTGTCTTATCTCCACCATCTCTACCCTTTGGGTTGTCCTGAACCCCACTGGCTGTGCCGCCCTGCTGGCTCTGTTACCCATAGCTGATCTCTCAATCAATCAATCAAAATAGAGCTGGAAGGGACCTTGGAGGTCTTTTAGTCCAGGGGTCTCCAACCTTGGCAACTTTAAGCCTGGAGGACTTCAACTCCCAGAATTCCCCAGACAGTTTGCTGGCTGGGGAATTCTGGGAGTTGAAGTCCGCCAGGCTTAAAGTTGCCAAGGTTGGAGACCCCTATTCTAGTCCAACCCCCTGCTCAAGCAGGAAACCTTCTTGCTCTTTTCACAATCCTGCACCCTGAATCGAAACATGGCCCTGCAGTCCCTCCAAGACTCATGGAGCCAAACCTCGGGGGCATAGTTGAGTTGAGCCTGTTTTTCCTCCATCCAGACCCTCACAGCTTCCAGGCACTGAGAAAGATCTTTGACAACTTTATTGGAGCAGCCAGGGGCAGAAATACATAACTGAGTATCATCAGCGTATTAATGATGCCATACCCTGTTGCCAAATGGGACGTGGTGGCTCAGTGGCTAAGACGCTGAGCTGGTCAATCAAAAGGTCAGCAGTTCAGCGGTTCGAATCCCTAGTGCCGCGTAATGGGGTGAGCTCCCGTTACTTGTCCCAGCTTCTGCCAACCTAGCAGTTCGAAAGCACGTAAAAAATGCAAGTAGAAAAATAGGGACCACCTTGGTTCCGTGTGCCTTTGGCGTTTAGACATGCTGTCCACATGACTACAGAGACGTCTTCGGACAGTGCTGGCTCTTCGGCTTTGAAACGGAGATGAGCACCGCCCCCTAGAGTCAGGAACGACTAACACATATGTGCAACGGGAATCTTTACCTTTACCTTACCCTGTGCCAACAGATCACCTTTACCAGAGGTTTCATGTATACACTGAAAAGGAGAGGGGGGAGCTCTAAAACACTCTGGAAAGCAGGGGAGTAGAACTATTTCCAATCAGGCCAGCTTCAGACAGCACAGCAAACCAGTTTACAACAAGGTGTAACAGATTAGTTGTTATATAAATAATATCCAAGGTAGATGTTGGCCTATCTTCTCAAAAGAGACAGGCTTCCTTTTCCCACAGCATAAATATAGGAGGAAAGAAAAAGCTAACTGCATTGAAGAATCTATATTTAGAGTTAATATTTGAAAACAAAGTCCTGATCAGAATTCTTGGGCTGTCATTTTCAATAAATGTCACTATAAAATGTTACTAACTGGAGCCGTACTTGTTTCTGATGTTCACTTCCAATCCCGAGTGCTGCTAAAGAGATTTGACAAATCGTTGTGAGGATAACTTTGTAAGCCACTCTAAGCTCTTTAAAAATAAGAATATTTTTAAATGAAAAATATAAATAGGGAATATGGAATTTATACCCTTGAATATTTACCATACAATTTAGACCTCGCAGTACAGTAGTATATTATAAAAAAGTTGTCTTCCTCTATGGAGGTTTAGTCATTTTGGAGTTAATTGTATCACTATTCAGCTATAAGGTCACAGCACCAATTCACATTAAGTCAAAATTAAATAAACCGTAACAGTATTCTATGTTTTGCAGGTAGATTTAGTCAATGAATTGTATTTTAAACACATCATGCTCTAATGCTGATATGTTAATCACATTAGATCATCTTGTCAGAATCTATATTAGTTTTACTGATGTGATTTATGATTCAGCTGGAAAAGCTCAGTAACAACCCCACAATATCCTTTCATCCCTCTATGTCATATTATTGAAACGCTAAATGGACCAAGATTTTGGAAAGAAATGATCATTAATTGAAAGTTCTGAGAATGTTGCAGTAATTAAAAACTATTGGTGGGGGAAGAGTGGAACTGAATTCACTTAATGACTGTCTGATTCACTTAATGACTGTGACAAAAAGGGTTGTAAAGGCTTGTAAGGAAGGCCATGACTCACTTAACAATCTCATTGCTTAAAGACATAAGTTCCAGTCCAACCAATTGTGGTTGCAAGTCAAGGACTACCTGAGGTGGAGTTGACTATAATGAAATAAATTGAGACTAGGCTCTAATCTCATTATTTCACAACAAACAACTCTACTTCAGGTAGTCCTTGGCTCTAATTTTAAGCATTTTTCTAAATTTAAACATCCCACAGAAACAGCTAATTGGCTTGTGCAAGATATCTGTAGATTATGGAAAAATTGCTGAAAATCCCCTTAAGGATTTCTAGGCAAATATAGGCCATTAGAGAGCAAGAAAAGTTTTGTCTTCTGAATAAAGATATATCTGAAGTTTGACAAGTGCAATGTTATGAAACAGTCTAACTTTCCAATCTTTAGTATGACTGGCAAAGAGTTGCAGGTTTTTTTACAGGTTTTAGAGCCAATTTAGCTGTTTTTGTGGGATGCTTAAAGTTAGAAAGAAGTGTGGCTGAGGTATGCCACACATTTTTTATCATCTCCAGTTAACATCGTATCAATGGATCCAGGCAGATACAGATGGGGTAACGAAGATGAATCTTTTGAATCTTCTTAGCTATACAATTTGGGAGGAACATCCTTTGAATAGTGTGGGAGTAGGAATGTATTTCCAGAGGAAAAATTGCAGACTACAGGAACAAGGAGCATTACTCAGGTGACCCTGAGGACACAGATAAACTTCCAAATGCTTCAACCACCCTCTGAAAGGATGCCAATGACCAGGTGTCTGCAAGGAATATAAATCCTTCCTTTCCCCACTATCCTGTCAGAGCTGAAGAAGCTTCTTGGGTGAGAAGCAAATCGTCTTGAAAAGAAAAGAAAAACCAAGTAAATCCAGTTGCCTCCTGAAAAAGCACCTTTGGGCCCTTCTTCTGAGATAGATATAGTAGATAGATTATGAACATACATTTAACTTTTATTTTTTAATTTGGTGTCTTCGAGTCAGCGCGGACTCCTACAACTGCTGTTTTCTTGGCCAGACTTAACTTTTACACACTGTTTTAAGCATTTTCTCCGACATTCAGGATACATGTCGCTTACAAATACCACCAATGTTTACCCGCACATTGTCTATTTATTTCCCAGGCTAATTCCGACTATATTCATATGGGACCTGCTTCAGAAACATTCTATATATGAGAATATACATCACACATACCGGAGTCCAGGGAAGGAAGGCAAAAAAAAAAGGAATCTTACATTGGATGTAAGGGGAAGGCAAAAAAAAAATTTTTTGTACATGGGGCAGAAGAGTTGCAAAGGAAAGGCTTTAAATAACAACATGTAAGCAGAGAGCAGGAATAGGAGGGAGGTAATTCAATTCAAATTCAATTTATTGTCAGAGTACAACATGTGTACAACGAGATTGGCTGAGCCTCCCTTCGTGCACCCACCCCCCCAATCCAATAAAACTCACAGTGAAAGGCAGTAAAAGAAAAAATCCCTAACCCAATGAATCCTAGTAACAAACACACAATCACACACAAAAACACACAATCGGGTAAAGGAAGAAACACACACACAAAAAGAATATTAGGGATTAGTGCGTCCCAAAGTGGGAATAGATTGAGAAGGCAGCTTTCCCCGCTTTGGAGCTAGGCAAGAGGAGACCCTCGCCCCGCTGGTCCTCCTCCTTTAGCCATTTGGCTTTGCGGGACTTCCAACCCGGCTGGAGACTCGGGGCCCCGCTCCCCTTTGCGCCCATTGTCCGAGAGACGTCATTGGGAATTTCCATTCACACACACCCCTCCAAATCTTACCTGTCGGGTCTCCCACGGGGGGGGGCGTATGCACCTCCCGCCCCAGGACTCCTGAGAGAGCGAGACCAACGCCGGGCCGAGGGGGGGGAGAGACAATCAGGAAACGTTCCGCCCAACCGAGCAAAGCGAAATGCGAAGCTCAGCCCTTGACTCCGCCCACCCTGGCCGCGGCCCGCCTCCACCTCCACCTCCTGTCAGGCAACGCAGCGTGCCTACGTCACGGGAGCGCTTTCCCCGCCTCCTGGAAGGGTTTCCCTTTTGCTTAAGAGTTCGCGGGTGAAGGGGGCGGGGCTTCTCCTGCAATGTTATGAAGGTCGCCTTAGGACTTTCATGAATGGTCTTCAGAATGGCTATAATTAAGGTGTATAATATGTGTATTCGAAAGATATTTGATACGGACAGTACAGTACAGTGTGGTTGCAGAAATGGAAATGTGATGCATGATAATATATATATATTATCATGCATCACATTTCCATTTCTGCAACGACACTGTACTGTCCGTATCAAATATCTTATATATATATATTATACATATATCATATATATTTATTTTTTTTTTTTTCTTTCTTTTTCGTAGGTTTTATGTGTATTTCTCTTTAGCCAGATTCTACCTACGTATAATATCTTGGTTTACGTAGGTAGAACCTGCTAAAGATATATATATATATTCTTCTTCGTAGGGTTTATGTGTGTTTTTCTTCTAGCCAGGTTTTCCCTACGTAACCAAGGTTTTTCTGCAGAATCGAGTGGATGTGATTCTACTGAGCTGGTGCTGCAGAAAAATCTTGGTTATGTAGGGAAAACCTGGCTAGAAGAAAAACACACATAAACCCTACGAAGAAGTAAGAAAATTGATACTGTACTTTTACAGGGAGGATACATAAGATATGGGTGTGGCCTACTGATGAAAGCAAACGAGCTAGAAATAGATCTATTTAGGTCTCCCACCTAGCAGGAAGAGCTTGCTAGCTGTTAGAAAAGAAAAAAGCCCAGAATGGAGTGGATGTGATTCTACTGAGCTGGTGCTGCAGAAAAACCTTGGTTACCTAGGGAAAACCTGGCTAGAAGAAAAACATATATATATATTAAAGAATTGCCGTTAAGAAATAGACTCAGGCTTCCTAAAGTGGTATAAAAGAATCTAAGGATTTAATCCTGGACCTGAGAGCCCAGTTTGAAGGTTGACATGATGAGAAGACAATAGCAAGCAAGCAAGCCAAGCCAAGCTAAGCCAAGCAAGCAAACAAGCAAATTGTGTACTTGAGAAGTCTCTGGATTATTTCAATCCACCTCGCTGGCAAGAGCTTGTCTGAATGTACAATCCTGCATGAAATGTAAAAGTTCCATGCAGCAAACCTCGATGACGCCATCACGTGAATGCTGCTGTTAACACACATCTTCACCTTGATGGGTGATGCAATGAGGGGCAATCTGTGCTATGATGTCAAATTGTGTGCTTCTGCAGGTGTCAATCCTTTCCTGCAGATGTCAATCATGTCCTTCTGCAGATGTCAATCATTCACCCTGATTAATCGATGCAGTGGGCAGGGGTTTGGGTAGACCAGGGGTGACAGTTCGGGTGCGGTGGGGCTCACACCTGGGATCACGAAGAGTTGGACCCGATCTGAAAACTAAACAACAGCAACAATTATTCCACTCAGAGGAGTGAAGTTGTAAGGACAAATCCAATCAAAAGTATCATATGATTCACCTAGTAGAAATCCAATAGAATAAATAAACCTAATAAATCGTTCCTCGGTTTTAATTTACATGAAAGCTGGGACATGATCAGTGAAGTAAAGACAAGGATAGAGAAAGCTCGAACAGCATTCTTCAAAATGAAAAAGGTCTTCTGCAGTCACGACATAAGCCTAAGACTGAAAATCAGGCTTTTCAGATGTTACATCTTTTCTATCCTGCTCTACGGAGTAGAGAGTTGGTCTCTGACAGAAAACCACTTGAAGAAACGAGAATCATTTGAAATGTGGATTTACAGATGGCTGTTACATATAAGTTGGGTTAACAAAGTCATAAATGAGGAGGTGGTAAGCCGCCTGGGAAAGCAAAGGGAAATCATCAAAGCCATTAAAAAGCGAAAGTTAGAGTATTTTGGACATGTGATGCTACAGCCAGAAAAATATGGCATCCTTTACTTAATCCTCCGGGGAAAGATTGAAGGCAAACGAGGTCCAGGCAGAAGAAGAACATAATGGCTTCAAAATCTAAGCGACTGGTTTGGACAAAACTCAGCAGCACTTTTTCATACAGCTGTTGACAAAAATAGGATTGCCAACATGAACACCAACGTCCGATGATGGATACGGCAGAAGAAGGAGGAGGAGGAGGGGGGGGATTGGAAAAAGGTTTTTAACTGCTTCTAAGTTCAACAATCGTTCACTGATGTCTACATATGAGCAACGTGGCCTGCAGATGCTCATTCTGACTTGCCATGGTGACCTTCCGGTGACACATTTGTGTCACTAAATAGCCAAAGTTGGCCGTGGAGGAAGTGATTTTAGGATTTCCGTCAGCACCAAAGTAGTTAGCATAAATAAAATTATTTAGTACAATCAGGGAAACGTTTCAGTTATGATGGAGTAGCTATGGCTTAAATAGAAATAAAAGGAAAAATAATATAGTGCCCAGACTCAGACATACCAATTTAGAAAAGCATTCTAATACTGTTGATTTTTGTTTAAAATAAGCCCTCTCAGATGCCTGAAAAGAGAGATTAAAACAAACTCTGGAAAAGACACATCTATAAATAGAATAAAAAGAGTGCAACTAGCTTGCAAGTGCAATCCTTTGTATTTCTGTCTGTGAGAAAAACAGTTGGGGGGATACTACAATTGGGATTTAGTACAGCTTCCCATTAGTACTCAAACAACAACAAAACAAAATGTTTTGTAGTCAACAAACATGTTGAAATACCCAGGGTACATTTGTTACTGTAGAAGAAACCTTAGACGTGTCAAATCAAATTCTAAAAGCTGTTTATAGATTTAACTTCAGGAAAATTCAAATGAGTTCCCCCCACCGCCTGCTTCAGGGTGTTATGAATGAAGCCCGTGAAAATATGGACAGGTTCATACATTTCCTCTTCTTGGTTCAGTCAATTGGCTCAGTAGGACTGCTCATTTATTGATGGTATCAGACACTATTCCTTTGACAGTAATTATACCTATAGCAATTGCTTTGTTATCATGAACCGTTAGAAAGGCCAATGTTTTGTCCATCAGTCTTCTGCAGAAGTTGTTTTGTCTTGTCTTTTCACTTGGCAATTCAGGTGCAGTATTTAATTTACCTTATTTTGCTAAATGTTCTATTTCACACTTACCTTTGGTCCTAATTAAAATGTCCTGGCTCATAAAAGCATTGTTCAAATTTTGGACAACTGTGAGTGTTTGGATCCAAAGCCTACTTATTTCGGGGGAATTAAAAATCATAGCCAGATTTCCTTTAAACTCATAGGCTTATCATTGCAAAAAGAAGTTAAGAGCAGACTTGTGACTGATTTCATTATGAGGTACAAAGTATTTTGAGATGAAAAGAAAGAGCATTTTGAGTTTATAATTCCTTTGCCTCATATTCCATACACATAAGTTCCTGTTTATATCTCTCTCTCTTATTGGTATCTGTTAAAACAAAAGGAACTTTTTGTACGTTAAATAAGAATGGTACCATTCAAATGGTATTATAAACAGATTTATCTCCAGTTCCAGATTTGAATTCTATATCTAGTCACGTAGTTAGTATTTTTTTTTTTTGTTTCAGTAATAATTTAAAACTCTGATTGCTATCTTAGGGTGGTGTTCTATTGGTATGTTTATATTATTTGAATATTTTTGTGATAAATTTGGCAAGTTGCAGAAAAGTGAGATGTAAATAGATGAAAAGATGAACAAACTAAGTGCATTCTTGGGAACTGATAAAATCTTTGGCATAAAACATATGCCAAAATGAGAAATTGAAAATAAAATGGAAGCTCTATGTTCATAACAAAGATTTTCTTCAGGAACTTCCGGTGGCACCGCAGGCACTGACAGACGCTCCTTTTGGATCGTCAGCCCCGCGATTTCGTTAAAGCCGCTAAGACAGCGTAAATCAGCTATCTGGCAGTTTGGAAACCTTCCCCTCGGGAGAAGAGAGGAAGGCAAGCAGCCGGACAAAGGTAGAGCTCCCCAAAATCCCTAGGAGTAATTCTGGGGCTTGGAGGGTGAGAGTTCTCTGGTAGTCTGACTGAGCTCCGAATCCGGGACTTCTCTGCTTTAAGCAGAACAAGACGCCGTGACCACCCCTGCAATCAACATTCAGATTCAAAATAAGCTCAAAGCAGGCAGAACAAAAACAGGAGTCCTGGCAACCGCAAGTACTGAACTTTAACTCTGTGTCTATACTTCTTCCTTCTAAGACTTTTAAAAACGAAAGGAAAAATGGTTCCTGAACTGTAACAGGGCATGAAAGTGAAAGTTATAGTGAAAGTGATTGTTAGCATCGTTAGCGCTTCTAAGCCTGTTTAAGATTATTGGATTCTACACCAAAGAAAGAAAGATTTAAAGTGGAAAGACTACAGTTTGGACTTTAAATAAACTATAATACTTACAAAAGATTTAAAAATATTTGGACCTATTGATTTGGTTGCTGCAGGAAATATAAATTGAAAGCTAAAAATGGCTTCTAAGCAAATAAAATCTGGCTTTAAAAGTGCTGGAGGATCGCCAGCACAACCATCAAAATTACAATCTTTGTCTACTTCAAACTCACAAATATTGACTTTGGAAGTTTTACAGGAATCTCTGCAGGAGGCTTTGAAGCAACAAACTTCTTTTTTAGAGGGGAAAATTAAGGGAGTGTCTGAAGAGATGGCTGAAATTAAAGAGGTCATTCAAACTCGGAATAAGGAAATAAGAGAAGATATAGTAATGGCATTTCAGGGTCTGGCAAAACACATTGAATTGTTGGATGAAAGAGTAGAAGAAATTAATCAGTCTAATCTGGAAATGGAAAAAGTATCATTTTATTTAAGGTTCCAGAATATAACAGAAACTAAAGAGGAAGACTTGGCAGAGACTATGACGGAAATTCTGGTTGAAATAACATGAAGAGATAAGGATGACATAAGAAGGGACATAGATGAAGTCTACAGAGTGCACACCAATTACACACGC